ACAAAAGTCATTTCCATATTCTGTCAGGTCTCTCATATATGAAAATTAATCTTGTATATGAAGATTGCCCTGCAAAATTGGTTAAATTGACAAATATTGTAGAACACATCATAAATAAATAATAATAATAAAAAGCAAGCAGAATGGGAGGTGGTTCTTTGGGATTCATGTGATTTTGTAATGGAAACTCTGAGTCACTTAAAATAGACTGTGACGATGGATGTATGCTCGTGCGTATGTGTAGAAAGAATGAGGTAAAAATGCACTGAGCTAATTACAGACACAGAAGAAGAGCGTTTTGCAATCTTATCTGCTTATCTGTTTTATCTGCACTGAAAATGAAGGTGCGAACATGAATGGGTAAAAATAAACCTGAAAAGGTAATGAATGATTCAAATACCTTTTCACAGTTTTTGCTGAGATTGTGCCGGAAGGTCTGACTGTGCTGTGTGTAGCACGTGACTTTGTCAGGTACAGTCAGTGCATGATGTGTTCCAAGTGTGAGGAGTGTATCTATCAAATGAACCTATCTTTGGTTTATTAGCTGTCAGTACACTTAATAATATTAGCAACACATTATTTACAAAGTTAGATATAAACATTATATGGGCTATAATAGATATAAGCTAGTGACTTAGTCTGACTGGCTGAGTGTCATTTGAATCCTTTTAAATTGTTGAAACTTGCTCAGCTTGTAATTTGACGCACTGACATTAGCCATAATCTTTGCAGACATCTCTATAAAATGTCTAAGGTGAGACTTTAGATGAAAACAAAACTGTAATAGAATAAGAACACAATGGATTTCTAAGTAGTGCTCTTAAAGGATATTGCTCCACTTCTTTGACCTGAGTTCACTCTGCACTAGTTTATTGTTAGGTTCTTCATCTATGTAAAATGTTTCTTTACTCAGGGCTTATAGAGAAGTTTCAATGATAAAACATTTGGATTTGGTAGACAGACCGCCGCTCTACTTTTAAGATTAGGCTTAAAACTTCTCTTTTATTAAAGCTTAGAGTTAAGGCTGGATCAGGTGGCCCTCAATCCTTCCTTGGCATCATGGGCTGTCCTGTCCCCTCCCTGATGGACAGTTGTTAATCCTGCTGCCTCAGCAGAGCAACAAACACTATCGAGGACAGCTCCCACCCTGGTGTTGACCTGTTCAACCTGCTTCACCCAATCCAAGGACCTCCCTCTATACACACACTAAACTACCATAACTACTGTGCAATACTTAATTAATGGTAAATATATAACACTCTTTTCCCGATGTTTGAATATTTGTTATTTTTGAATACTGTTCATCTGTATATAGTGCTGCATAACTATGGACTTCACTCTTCTTTCTTTCTAACATGTCTGCGGTACGGGTATACCATGTTTACAGGTACGGGTATACCATGTTTACAGGTACGGGTATATGTTTATAGTGACAATAAAAAGCATTCTATTCTATTCTATTTACTCTGCAATAGGTCAAGGCTGCTGGGGGATTTCCATGACGCATTGTTTCTTCACTCGCTGCGTGTTTTTAGGCCTCTCTTTACGCATTTAATCATTGGTTATTCACCTCTGCCTCTCTTTCACCGTGTCTTTGTCCTGTTTTCATCCACTCAGCCCCAACGGCAGTAAGTGGCATTTTTGCTGGTCTAGTTCATAACATCTGATGCAGACCTCGGAGAAAATAATAATCATCGCTTATAAGAACTCACAAATGTCACCGAGTTCCTTAAGGGAAATTGCCAGAATTCTCGGAATGGACGTGAAAGTATATGGGGGGGAAGGAAAATATAAATATATATATATAAATATATATATATATATATAGTCTTCAACGAACAGGATTCACAATGTGGTTATATATAAAATAAAGACATTGCCTGTTCTTTATCTTTATGACTTGTAGGCTATCTTTATGATATTGTACCTACAATTTAATCAATCCAGCCCTTTAGGCCAGTTAAAATATCTGTTTAACTCTTGAGCATATATAAAAGTTGCTGTGTTAAAAACTGATGCGGCTTCTACCTTGTGACAGCCAGAATGTTGTTTGTAGCTCAAGATGAATTGATACCATTCGTGAGTGAGGCATTAGACACTTTTCATATATTATAATTCAACAAATAAGTGTTTTACAGGTACGGGCAATCGCTTTTTGGGAACATCCGAAATTACTTTTTGGCAGATGATCATATTTTGGCACACCAGAAGATATAAAACACAGACAGAACCACAAGATAATTAACACATACAGAGCAAATGTCTTAAACGATGTCGGCAGTTGGGTAAATGTAAATTACGGCTTTTTAACAGTTCTGTTCCAGCTTTCGAACATCCCCCAGCTGACCTGTTATGCCGGAAGGTGACGATAGCATCGGCTGTGCCAGTCCCCTGCCACACCGTCAACTCTGTGCATGCAAGACTCCGCCCAAAATCTCCGCTTTTTACACGCCCGGGGACTAAAGAAAATAATTATCCGAGCAGCAGCATTTGACAGAGGAAGCGGAGAAGGCGAGGAGAGCTCCCCTGGGATACTCAAAGGACTGTGGACACGCTCTGTTCTGCGATGCTACGGTAGATTCTACAGCCCAGAATACTGGATAACCTTTAATTTAATAATAACAAACAAGGGAAACAGAAGGAGTATGCAAGATTTTTTAAGCTAAAATTCTGTGCTGATGAAATGACCCTTACAAAAAGTATCACTGGTTAATGTTTGCCGTTTCGGTTTAGTTTCTCCACCATATACAAAATTGTATCATGTGATTTAAAACGTTTAAGAAGGTGGTTCACAACCAGTGGCATGCCAGGTTTTCCAGCAAAGACAGGATTTGCAAACAAATTGGTATTTTATAAAAAAAATAATTAATATTATTTGTGTATTTTTTATGCAGCAAAAGAGACACAGCTTAAGACAAGATTGAAGAGAGAAGAATTCGCACAAAGCACCACTGACTTGACAGCAGCTCACAGCCATAATGTTGCACTACAGAGTGAACCGCAACACCATGAAGTTCCAAGTGATCCTATTTGGGGCAGCATTGTTGCTGGTCAGCGGCTGGTACATGCAGCTCAGCCTCTATGACCCGCAACCCTCCAATGACAAAGTCCACGTTCTATTATTGTCATCATGGAGATCAGGCTCATCCTTCCTGGGCCAGGTATTCAGTCAGCACCCGTCTGTCTTCTATCTTATGGAGCCTGGCTGGCATGTGTGGACCCAGCTGAGGCAAAATGGTGCACGGGCACTTCGAATGGCAGTGAGGGATCTCTTACGGAGCGTGTTCCCGTGTGACTTCTCAGTGATGGAGTCCTACCTTCCAGAGAACCCCAATGTGTCGTCTTTGTTTATGTGGAGTCACAGTCGAGCTCTGTGCTCACCACCAATCTGTTCTCTTACA